TTCATAAATCAACAGGCTGTCCAGTTAATAAATATTACATGTTCCCGGCTGATGCATTGGATCGCTGTAATACCTAAACAATTACTGAACTAGTAACCTTAGAACTCCTATCACATGTTTGTTCTGTACATATAATGACATTATTTATACCGAATTGATCATGCCTGTAGACTGGCGTGAATTCTGTAATTATTATTTTTTCAGAATAAAAATTATTATTATTGATTGCTGATTGACCTGAGTGCCAGGCTTCTAAAAATTCTCTTGTGTTTTTAGAATTTCCTCTGTCCACGATTTCCACATTTTTCCAATCGAATGTGTGTCCGCAGTTGTCCACGTGTATTGATATAAGTGAGGAGATATTATGCCGTTTGACTGCTAATTGATGTTCATGTAGGCGCAGGTGAAGGGGGCGTCCGCTTTGTCTGATGTAGTGTTTGTCGCAGTTGACACAATTTATTTTGTAGATGATGTTCGATTTATCTTATTTTGTTATTTCATCCTTTTGTTCGCATAGGATTAACTGTAGTGATTTTGTCGGTTTGTGTGCCACACCTATCCCGAAGGTTTTTAGCAGTCTTGTTGCGGTTTCTGATATGCCATTTATGTATGGTAGGGTGAGCCGTTTGTTGATTTCTGTGCTTCATTTGTGCTCTGATGCCACATGTGGTTGGTATTTTTTGATGAAACTGATTGGGTAGCCATTCTTTTGAAATACTTCCTTCAGGTATTTCTCTTCCTTTCTTCGTGCTGCCAGTGGGCTGCAGTGTGTCCTCGCCCTCTTGAACAAAGTTTATACGCAGTAGATTTTATGTGCTCTTGGGTTGTTGCTATTGTAGTTCAGAATTTGATCTGTGTGGGTCGGTTTCCTATATACTTGAGTTTCTAGTTTTCCTGTGTCAGTTCTAGTGATTAATATATCCAAGAATGGTAGTTTGTTGTTTGCCTCCTGTTCCATTGTGAAGTTGATGTCAACAACGTCTTCGATGACAAAACCAAGACAAAGAAGTAAACAATGACAAATTTAAGGTCAATAAGAACCAATCAATATCGAGGTGCACAGAACAAGCTGTGAAACGCATATGGAGAAATTCGAACACTTCACTTCTATCTGAAGTTTGTGCTGATGATGTCGTTCAGAAGAACGATGAAAGCTCCACGACCAAACCATACAGCTCAGAGAACAAAACTCCATCAAAAAGGAACAATGCAAGAATAATATTTGATCAATCAAAAACAGGTTTGAACAAGTTAATGTCATGTCATTTTTGTCAAGGTGATTCATAAGTGATATGTATGTAAATTTGTGTGTATCTATGTGTGCATTGTTTATGAATGAAAAATTGTGTGACCTTTATGGTAAGAAAGGATAGATTTATAGAACCAATAATCGCACAACTACCGGAAAAAGAGTCGCATTTACTACGTCAAAAGACATCCCATATTCTGACTAAACAAAAACACATTACACCAAAAATTTCAAAAGAAGAATTGAAGGCTCTGCATTCACTTAAAAAAGACAAAACGATTATCATCACAAAAGCCGACAAAAGCAACACAACAGTAATCATGAATAAAACAGATTATATTAATAAAGCTCTTGAACATCTCTCAACAGGACCTTATGAAAAGATCAATCCAAAAGCTTCTCTAACGATTAAGAATAAAGTCAAATTAGAAACAAGTCAACTTCTAAACGAGCTAAAACCAATCATTGGAGTCTCGCTTTGGTTTGCTTTGCATCCCAAATTATGTAATGTCTCACGGTTTTATGGCATACCAGAAATTCATAAATCAGATATTCCCCTAAGACCGACAGTAGACTTCACAAACACCCCAACATATGTATTATCGAAATATTTAAGCAATATATTAAAACCACTACAACTCAACTTACATAATATAATTAAAGACACATATGACTTTAAATCAAAATTATCCGGATTAATCATCGAGAAGAATGAAATCATGGTAAGCTTTGATGTCGTTTCTTTATACACAAGTGCTCCCATTGATAAATGCTTAGAATTCATTAGTGGTTTACTTGAGAACGACAATACTCTTCCTGACAGATGTCCGTTGAGCATCAGTCTAATCATGAAATCCTTAAAACTTTGCTTAAATTCAACGCTACTTACTTTTAACGGTATGTTATTCAAACAAACTAACGGTGTAGCAATGGGATCCCCGGTATCCCCGATTGCAGCCAACCTTTTTATGGCATACATAGAATCAGATATCTTCGCTCACAACATTATACCACGAATTTAACTTAGATATGTAGACGATACATTTGTTGTTATAAAAAAGACTCATCTAAGATCTTTTTCAAAACGAATACACTTTCATCGTAAATCAAATTCACGAATGAAAATGAAAATGTACATGGTGAGCTATCATTCTTGGATTGCTTAGTAAAAAGAAACCCAAATGGAAGTCTTAACCTATCCATTTACCGAAAACCGACGCACTCAAATCGTTACATTGACTTCCATTCAGCACATCCTTTCAGTGCTAAGATCTCGCTAGCCTTAAATCTTTTTAGAAGAGCTAACAAGATCATCACATCAGAGGAAGACAAACAAAAAGAACAAATGAATATAATTAACATCTTACAATTTAATAATTTTCCTTTGAAAATTATTAGAAGCATATTAAAACAAAACAGTTCATTACGTTATAATAATGATTCGAATGAAATGCCATGGATTGGTACTGCAGTTCTACCATACCGTCATGGCACAACAGAAGAAATCCAAAGAATCTTGAAACAGCACAGAATTAAAGTATATCACAAAACAACGAACACACTACTTAATACTTTAGTTCGCCTAAAAGACAAAATCCCTTTTATGTACACACAGAACTGCGTCTAGAAATTAGGTTGTATCGATTGTGATGCCTTCTATATTGAAGAGTCATCTCGAGAAATCTTGACTAGAGCCAAAGAACATATTAGGTACACAAAGAAACCTCTTAACAATCCTGTAGAATTGAACCAACTTCAAATTAAATCGGCAATAGCAGTTCACGCCATTTTCAACAACCACCAAATCGATTTTAAAAACATCAAAATATTGCAAAAAGGCATTTCCAACTACAAAGAAAGGAGGGTAGCTGAGGCGTTCCGTATAATGCTTAATCGTACTTCTCTCAACAGAAAGGAAGGCCTTACCATGCATCCTACTTGGACCGACCATCTATCCTAGTCATTCAGTCTGATCGTATTTACAAATTCACACTATCATATTACACATTTAAACTCTATCCTTTCTTACCATAAACACATATACATACACACAAATTTACATACATATCACTTATGAATCACCTTGACAAAAATGACATGACATTAACTTGTTCAAACCTGTTTTTGATTGATCAAATATTATTCTTGCATTGTTCCGTTGTACTATTTAAACTTGGATTAATTTTAATTTGGTTATTTATTTATTCTCTGAAGAAGTGGCTTACACTGAGTCATGAAACGTCAGAAAACCTAATCTTCTACTTATTGGGATATTACAAATATATTAATCGTAATGTTTCTTGACATCAGAGCTGCCTTCGATTCGTTAGACAGGACTGTTCTCTGGGGTTGTCTATTGAAGAAGGGTGTGCCTGAGAAGTTTTTTAACATCCTAAAGGCCCTATATACAAACACCTCAGGCAGAGTGAGGACATACAACCACCTCTCTCCATTGTTCCATTCAAGCAAGGTGGTTAGATAGGGTTGCCCAATCTCACCATTCCTCTCCAACTTTGCCATCGATGATGCTCTGGAAACAGCTCTGATGGATGTAGGTAATGGTGGTGTGGATCTGTTGCCTGAAGAAAGACTTCACAACCTTGAGTATGCAGATGATATTGTCTTACTGTGCGATGATACCCAAGCCATGCAATCCGCACCAAGTCAGATGGCAATCAGTGTCCGTAGGTATGGTATGTGCTTTACACATAAGTGCAAAGTAATTTTACAAGACTAGCAGGACCTTGAACCTGCACTCACGCTAGATAGCGAACAGATAGAAGTAGTCAAAATGTTCGTGTATCTGGAAAGCTGCATTAGTGCTGGTGGTGGCGTGAGTGATGAGATCAATTCACGTATAGTCAAAACCAGAGCGGCTTACGTCAACCTGGGCTATCGTTGGTGCCTTCGTAATGTTAGTGTGGTTGTCAAAGGTCGAATCTATAACGCGTCGGTGACAGCAGTTTTGCTATATGCTTGTGAAACCTGGCCTCTCCGAAGTGAGAATGTTATATGACTCGCCGTGTCTGATGATCGTTTTCGCCGAAAGATTGCTGACATCCAGTAGCAACAATATGTTTGTAATGCAGAGGTTCGTCATCGTGTGCTCGGGAAGAGCGACGATAATTAGACTGGTGTCACCATCTTGAAACACCGACTTTGATGGCTTGGACATGTCTACGAAGTCGTCCCAGGGAATTCCACATCGCACTGGGACTAGATGGAAAAAGTAGAGATGATCAGTGTATGACATAGTGTCGTGATATGAAAGAAATCTGTACAGGACTGGCTTCTGTTGGACCTTCGTGACTCTCCGGTTGAGGTCCCAGAGATGGTGCAACACAATGGCTTGAGATGTTATCAGACAATGATCACAATAAGACCCGTGGCGATCCTACAGTAACTTTTTTTTACTTTCATCATAAAAAGGGAAATAACTTCTTTACCTAAAAATATCCTTTCTCTTTGTACTTTTCTTCATATAAATAATAATAACAATAATAATAATAATAGCAATAAGTTATTATTATTTCACTTTTATGCACTGATTTCTATTCATTGTTTTGTTTCATTTTTATTATACTCACTTTCCTTTCTCTATCTCTTCACAATCTCATTTTTATCGTGTGGTGCATGCATACTTTGGTGGCTCCTTGTACTACTACTACTACTACTACTACTACTATTACTAATAATAATAATAATAATAATAATAATAATAATAATAAAACACAGAGAAGCTAAAGCTAACCTTTCGATCTTTGAAAGAATACATATTTATACTACTGGTATCCAAACATTTAGCGTCCCTGCATACAGGTAGAAGTAAATCGATTGAACCATCATAGTCTACCATGGTAGAAAAGTCAAATAATAATAATAATGATAATAATTTCCTTCAACAACTATTTGGTACAATAACTTAACAGATCCACATACGAACAGAACACATGTCAATCATTACAAGCTGAGATCTAAAATCAAAAACCTAATTGTAATACAGAGTAACTGCTTTGTTGTAGTTGAAGATACCTTAAGATGCACCTATGACCCAGTACAGGACAGAATCTAGGACCTTTACATCTCAAGGTAAATATGATATACTTAGATAAATGAGTTCGTCTACAAAACAGACTCGTCTTTACATCTAAAGTACTACTCTATGATGATATTCTTCTATAAATTATTGATTAAACGATCGACAGTCAGTATCAGTTTGATTTGATCGTCCACCAAAACTTAAAAGTTTACGCTTAGAAGCTGATTGGCTAAAAAGTATCGCATAGTTCCACATTGACCGGTAATGTGTTATTATTTAAAAACATAATACAAGTAAACAGTAAGTAACTTCTGAAGACTTGGACATTGCTGAATGTGTTTCATAGTACTTCGATCAGGTTCATCGAATTTTATCAGAACCAAGCTTGCTATAATAAATCAAAGTAAACGGATCAAACGTTGAAAAAGAATTTTTCGACAACTAAGAAAATGGATAAAGGGTTTATAGGTGAATATTATCCCATCCTTACTTCCATGTATGGCATGATTTGTCTTACGTAAGCTCCTTTACAGAATTAAATGCTAGTTTACTAACTCGACAAGCTAATATTCGACCAAAAACAAAGGTATTGAAGGAAGAATTAGTTATAGAGCAAAAGATATTGAGAATCAGGAAAAAAGAGCTGAAGCCATTTTGTCACTGTTTCATGAATCCTTTGTTTCGAACCAAGTTACTGAAGATTACAGTCATTTAGGAGTGTTAAATCTGCCGTACAAGAGATCGAATGAAGTCAAAAAACCATCTTAGATTCTCGAGATATTTATGTATGAATACATATAAGTACTGAGTGATTCTACAACAAATAATAATTTATGTTAAACTTATACTCAAGATAATGGACTCAACAAAAACAACACTTGACTCGATGTATACAGGCTAGAAATCACTTGTACGATATGGTCGGATTACGATTAACCCATAAAATAAAAGAGAATAAATACGAGTTACTTATATGAGATAAATTCATAATGCACAAATTGACAGGTAGAACTGAGTGCTTTGTCAATTATCGACGATAATCTTGACATCAATGATTATCTATGATGTCATTAAGGTCGATCAAGAAGTCTAAACGGCACAATAACTACTATGGATATTGGTCGTAGGTGGATAGACTCTATAACTGTTTTACTGACAATACACACTCCAGTTTTATAGTTTCAAACTTGTTTTAAAATTAAAATACTGAATACTTACCGAAATCATTCAACACGAATAATCCCAAGACAGATTGTGGAGTACTTAATAACTTAGGATCGAGATAAATTAATTCAGCATTAGTTGCATCAGGCAAAGAACCAATCGATGATTGAGTACGTAGTATCAGCTGTAATTGTTGTGTATTCTCATTATCCACAAGGATTACAATATCTACATAAATGTCATTCATGAAAAGTAAATATATGAATATACAAAACTGTTAGCTTGATTGACAGCCAGCCTTAGTAATTACTCTCAGTTGGAACGAAACATAAGAATACCAAATAAAAACCAAATTTTTAAATTTACCGCACTGACAATGTGATAATAAAAATATTGACGTCCAGTAAAATACTGAAGTATAATTTTAACCCTTTATTTTAACGATAAGCTGTTTGGGTAAACCCAAGTAAATTGCTACTGAAAACAAAACAGTTCAGCACTAATATACCAGTAATGATTACACAACGAAAGCGCTCATGTTTACTGAATAACAATCATAGAAGTCAACCACGATTTTGCACTGAAATATGACATAAGAAGCAGAAGTGATAGAAGTATGATATATACTGCATTCGTTATGTACTTCAGCAGCATGATTTATTTATAGAAGTGAATTATTGGTATTATTCTATTGGCTTCTACAGAGAATTTCTTGTCGCGTTTCAGTGAGAATTTCCTTTAGTTAATATGTAGGAAAATCCAATGTTGATCATGTTAAATATCACCTTGAATTTTGTTAATTCTTTTATTCTATCAACTTAATACTTTATTTTTCATCGATTATATTCCTGCCCTTCCCTTCTAGGAGCTAAACTATATGACAGAAGCGACCTATTATCTTTATTACACAAAAAGCTGATACAAGAGACAATGACTTCACTATATACATTTGTCTAATCAAAAAATCATCAAAGGAAAGAGGAGCCAAATACAGACAAGACAATCAATGAATTATTTTAATAGTAAAACAGATATCTAATGGATGCTGGAATTATGTCCAGAAGCAAGCTTGTTTGACTGCCTTTATTATGTAAACATATACTATTCAAGATATATGTTTAAACCTACGTACTGCAAAAATTAAAAACGAATTTATTTTCCAAGTAAAATATATTACAACATTACCTAAGTGAGTGTTATGCATCTCATCTGCTAGGCGTACAGGTTTACGTAATCCGATTCTAGCCACAATTCTCGGGTTAAAGTTAATGAATCTACTCAGCCGTCTAAACCGAAGTAAACGGAATAAGGGTTTAAACCTGAAACTTATTAGTTGGAAGTCGAATGGTTTTATTCACTAACCGACTGTCCCATAATACTATTAACATTGATTACAAGGAATACAGTTATAATATATGATTAATTGTTTAAAAGAAAATTTCAAAGTGAAAATACAACAATGCCTGTAATTACATATCAAATTTTTATGAAAAGTAAATCTATTTACGAAGTGTTATATTCTAATTATAATGCAACTTCTGATATGATGTGTAAAATCAAAAGAAAAGAAGAAAAAGAGAAACAAGCTTTTCAATGCAACAAGTTTCCAATTGAATAGCTGACTTACCAGGAACACCATCTCTGTTGATATCCCCGAAAGCTGAATAACCAAGTCGAGACCATGAAGGGCCAGAATAGGCATCGGATAATTTCGTAAGCTCATTTCTATAATATTATTATTTAATAAATGAATGTGAACAAGTTAAATTTTAAGGATCTACAAGTATTAAAAACTATGATCATATAAAACTCGAGCATAAATGACCAGAAATGAATTATGAAGTTTCTTTATGTGCATTATTTTCTTTATGAATTAAACTTATTAAACTGTAATTTTGTTTTGCTCTTTAGAAATTAGGCGTGTGTATTTAATTGAAAAAAATAAAGAAAATCATCATTATTATTAGAAATTACACATCCAGACATAGGATGAAACAGATATAAATGTGTCAAGTATACTTTAATCGATATATTGACTCTTCCAAGATTATGAGGCATCATAAATATTTGGAGAGAATTATGGGTAAGAAAAACACCGTGATAACTCGAACGACAACTGAGAGACTATATACAACAGTTCTACTGGTTTTAGCAAACCCCCAGCTATACCAAAAGACGGATCAGGTTCAGGAAGATTAGCTGGACAAGACTGAAGTAAAATTGAATTTGCGTCTAAGATAAATTAGTTAAATATCAATTCAGTGATTATTAACTACAGAATTTTACCCACTTAGCAATTATCAGTAAACATAAAATCATAGTGAAATAATCAGTACAAAGAAATTCAATTGAGAATTAAATAATTAAATAAAAGTGATATACACTGGAAGTTAATGAATTGAATTTACGACAATGAATTGAAGTTTATACGATACCCAAACAACAGTCTGGTCTCAACTGATTGGTGAATGAATGACTTACAATCTAATTTCATCTAATCGATTATAACATTCTTTCATGTTTATTTTTCGTCCATATTCTGTAATATAAGCATGTCATTTTATTACATGGAAAGCTATTCATCTAATTAGTGGTCTTTTCTTTCATTTCTAATCATTAAAGTGGCTTAAGTCAATAATATGGTCTCGTGAGCAAACATCACCCGGTTACTTCATATCATTGCGTTTACCTATAAATTAGCATTCTATTCATCGAATTTAACAATTACAATTTCATCTAATCAAATCACAGAAGTTCTCCGTCATAACAGAGCGCAACAGAGCAATATTGTTCGTCTTTGTATGTTACTCGAAATAGAAATTAGATTATAACGTTACATATATTCACTAACTGAGTCATTTAAGTAAAGCAAGAACAAATATTGATGCAGAATAGTATGAATTCATTATATTTCGAGGTTTCTCGTCAGCTGCTTACAACCAAATGTCAGGTCAGTGGTCTAGAGGCTAAGTATTCCCGTGTGAAACCTAGGGTCCTGGGTTAGAGTCCCGATAGCGGGATCGTGGATACGCATTGCTAAGGAGTCCCGGTAGCCCAATGCTTCCAGGTTTTCAATGGTTGTCTAGCATAGATCGACTAATGAATTCAACTATCAAAATTATACATTAATAAAAAAACTGGGATGATGAAAAAGGTAAACGTTTTAAAATTCAGTTGACAACAAAGCTTTTATTATACTCGAAGAACAAAAAAATAAATCAAGAAATTAACATACCCGCCTATATATGCTACTCGATGTCCTGACACTTCGCCGTACACATCAGCAATCATATCAGAATTTAAATCGCATACCAATGGTTGAGAAGTAAAAGTATCCAAAAATTTTGGTGAATCTGAACATTCATTAGAAAGTTTTAAAAAAATGACAACATTAAAAGTAATGTCTATCTTTAACATTTTAAAGTAAGTTATTTTAAGAAAGAAAAATGTAGTTGTAAATTCTTTTCAATCAGGAGAATAAGTGAAATCTCTCACGAACTTTGTGCGACAATGATAAATTCACATTGTTTTGGTGAAATATCTCAGTCAGTCAGTCAGTAACAACTTAGAACTTCTACGTATGTACATCAGTTCGAGTTGCCATACCACAGTAACACAGAGATACAATTGTCGATTCAAATCACAGTGGTAGAGGTAGTAAGAGTATAAGCAGTAATCGGAAAGATTGAGGTTTGAAGATGTTATTCAAGGAGTATAATACAGTGAAATAAATTTGGAATGAGGAATAAAAGGATATGAAGGATTCAGAAGATTAGAATTTGGGAGAACACAGAGAGTGGATGCACCTGCGCCATTGCAAACGATTTTGAGCCATGTTATTCAAGGTGTCTAACCATCGGTTGCTATCATCTCGCGGTCCCCAACCAGGTAGTCTACACATACTAACATGACTCAGTCCACTTGTCAGTGACTTCATAGATTTGTTCCATGTTTTGGTCTGGCCGCCCCTAGCTTTTTTCCAACCTACTTAGAAAAAGAGATGACATGATAGGACAAAATTAAGTTAGAGGAATAGCTGTTGTTCAAATACTTAGATGTAACTCACCTATGGGGTACAAACTGATGTATTTTGCTTTAAGTTACACTATTTGTATGAAGGCTAATCATACTTACTATTTGGATGCCTAGAATGAAGTATATGCAGTGAATTTGAGGCTTGAGAATTAATGGTTTAAAGCTGTACCACCACTCCACTCAGACACTTGAAAGTCTAATATAAATTATAATGAAATAATAAACTATACGGTATTACCATACATCTATGCTCAACGTACACTATAATTATAAATAAAAAACTCATCGTCGCGTAAACATTTTGGAGCGAATAAGCTTTTTCCTGTCAAAAGTGTTACAAACAACCGACACACAAAAACATTAAACAGTATCTATAGCCTAGTTATACTACAGAAAATCTTTGAATCGAATGAACATATGAATAAAACTGACAATGTGTGGATGTGTGGAGATTTACACTGATGAAACTAATTAGTCGAGATTTTTAAGCCATTTGACAAAGAAGTGAAGTACGGTATCTGAGAATTCAGATCATATTAAACTAGTTTCATGAAGATAAAATGACGGTAAGTTTATATGTAGTTTGTTTATTGACTAATGTGCCAATTACATATTATTATACAACACCTGATGGAATCCGATAATAGCTTGGATTTGTAATAGTTATAAGGTCCGTCAGTGGGTATGAAGAGCATACCCGCTTTAAAACAAAAAATAGATGCATTAATTAGATTCAGAATTTCCCAGATAATATCAAATCTATTTGAGCAATTAGTTAAAAGTTAAAATGATTTTCGTCAGGAGGTACAAAACCAGCCAGAGAATTCTTGAAAAACAGGAATAATCAAATGGATATTTCGTGATAATTCCTACTTTTCCTATGCAGTGCATACCTACGACTGAAAACGAGATCGACACAGAACCTGCAGGAATTGTTGCAAGCACGATACCTTTATGAAGAGAAATCATGTGTAGCGGTATGAATTTATAGTTGATGAAGGGTACCTTCTATCTCATCTGGTAACAGCTCAAGATATTAACATTTTGTTCATCTAAATTTCTGTTATCAAACTGCCAAGAAATAACATTATTGTGTACAAAACATGTAACCGGAGGCACTAAATAAATATGCGCCACACTACATCGTTCGATTTGTGTGAGGGCTGAGATACTAACCGAGCGCCAAAGCCGAGGGGGTGGTTTTCTTAGGAGGCCGCTCCCCGAGCCTTTGACCTAGAGATCTAATCCACAAGGCAACGGAGCAACGTCAGGAGATTCAGTTCCATGGTAGCCGGTGACCAACAATAGGTTCACACGCCACTTGTTTCCTTAAGATCCTGGAGCCCATTCACACGGCTGGTTTCGAATCACGGTTTTCTAACTCTCCTAGGTCGATTATCCGTTTCCACCAACCCGATTAGAATACCAGACATTCGCTTTTCGTCCTCTCAGTTTCGTAAACAACAACCCCACCGCGAGAAGGCAGTGAGCAGGACTTCCCTAGTAGTGGATGTATACGCGTAGCCATATGAGAGCATTTAGAGAGGGAGAGCTGACTCTCCCCGCTCTAGGCCATGTAACCAGGTTCTAGGCTGGATTTTGATTTAGGTAGAGTTGTGAGATAAATTTATCCTTCTATATAAACTATTATTAACTGTAAAGAAAGCTATGGACTTAAGGGAGGATATGAATTAAACAGATCTGCCTCAAGTCGATTAATTTTGAACTATAGCACCTAATTTTTAACTCGAAGCAGGTAGCTGAAACCTATCAGTGATTCCATGGACTCATGCCACATCTTAGTTTTACCACTCCTATCTTTCCTCCAATTTACTCTTACCGCAGTCAGCATCGCTCGTCGACATAGAGAGGGACTGGATATAGCATGTGTCCCGGCTACCTAACTCAATGAAGAATCACAGCATCGTCACAACCGAACAGACATCTTTACCTTGACCCAAAATACTTAATTCTAGCATTGCTCTCTCCGCTGTTCCATTGAAACCAAGGAATACTTAAAAATATCAAAGTTCAAATACTAGTAACCTATGTATTCCCTCTTCTGTCAAAGATCACGTTTAAAATGCATCAATATGAGTAGTTGGGCTGAAATATCAACCCAAACCTCCACAAACAAGATTTATTGTCTATTGATTTAATTTGTATTTTCTTGAGTCATAATAAAGTTGATTTGTGTAAAAATCGAAAATCATAAAAATATATGATCTCATAACACAGAATATATATCACTGTTGACTTACCGAATTTCCCGCGATATTTACCACTTGAGCCATAAGCTACATATACATCAAATGGTCCCCCATCTGAACTACCGGTGACTAATAAAAGATCAATCCGAGAATCTCCATTGAAATCAGAAGTAGCGACACCACGGATAGGCTTAGACAAAAAACTATCAATTATTTCAACAGGTGGGGAAAATTTCACACTAGATAATATTGGTGAAGTGGATTGAAAGCCTTTATTATCAGATTGTAGAACAGCAAATAATTTTGAACCATCACCATTGGCAAATATAACATCCATTCGACGATCAGCATTTAAATCAGTAAATGCTGCCAATTGAAAATCTGGCCAAGCATTTATTTGTTGATAAAAATCAGATGGATTGTTATTTAAAACAACATTTTTATCCGAATTCACCAAAAGGAATAACAATAGTAAATAAAATTTAGTCACCATGATAAATGATGGAATACGGATTAATTTCATTATCGTATAAAGCAAAATGTTCACTGGATGATCAGACAAATCTAGGGAAGTAAATAAACAATAAACTACTTTTAAGAATAATAACGATAAACTGAATAGTATAAGTGAGAATATTTTTTTCGTCAATCGAGTCACCTCTTACATCACAGTTACAAATAAAACAAAATTTGATGCAAATATGCATTAGCTCAAATTGTAATTCGAAAAGAAATGAGACTACATTACTGTGACTAATTCTGAGCTGTAATTGAAAACCTTCAACTACTGGTTGTGATTATTGTGTACACCTTAACCAAGTAGTCGACATTAATCAACATGGCTCAAAACAAATCAATGACTCCATGAGCTGACGTCACATCATAATTGAACCACCCCTCACTCCTTATAGTCATTTTTAAGGAAAAAGTACAAATAAACTGTAGACATAGGGGAATAACTATAAATTGAGTAGGGTACAAAAACAAAGCGCTTTAATTTATTTTATGGTATACAAATAAATGATGTTGAAGTCATCTGTCTTTGAATTACACCACATTAATTTGAAGTTTTATTTTAAATGAGATGAATTAACAAAAGTGAATTTTAAAGTTGGATGATTAGATTTGAGAACAATTAATGATCATATAGAATCGAAAAGTTAAATCGACGGAAACCATTCACATAATGCCAATAAGGAAAGATTTCTGATAAATTTATGTTGCACATGCACACAGAGCATTCTTGTAAAGTTTTCTAAGTGATACACGATATTGTAAAATGGCAAAACAGAATGATCTTTATAGGTGATTCAGTGATCAGTTATTACTTCCAGTAGATATGACTAAACAGTTTAAATATTTATCCACATAGACTGTTTTATTGACCTAATTTTCAATCTCTTTAACTAGTTAGTTGATGCAATGAGTTTATGTCCGGAGCTTTACCGGGTTGGTGGACATGGAGGATCCACCTGGGGGAGTTGGAAAACCATGATTCCAAACCAATGATCCACATAGGCTCCAGGATCCTGAAAGGACAAATGGCATATGAACCAATAGTCGGTCACCGGCTACCATGGAACTGCATCTCCTGACGTTGCTCCCCCGCCCTGTGGATCAAACCTGTAGAGCAAAGGCTCGGGGAGTAGCCTCCTAAGAAAACTACCTGCTTCGGTCTGGGCACCCGGGCAGTATCACAGCCCACACACAATTCAAGTGACTTGTTGGAGCATATGTATTCGGTGCCCCTTTGTACCAGTGTTTATGTGTTCAAATAAATAAATAAATGTCAAAGGATGTGTAGACTAGTTTTGAGAATATTTTCATCCTTCGATTTCTTAAATTTGCGATATTTCCATATTTCCCATACATAATCATACCAATTCATAGAGGGATATTTGTCTTGGTAATTAACTGGGGAATGAGCGATTGAACCCAATAAGTTTATGAAATTTGCTCGATTTACACCTGCATCATGAAGACAATCACGCACTTTATATTAATAGAATCAACTCTAGGAGACACCAGTTTTAAATGTAACAGTATATTACGTTCATTGAATAGGCAGAACAAACTAAGAAATTAGTTGAAATAGTGTGTCTTTTATCATATCAGAACAAATATTTGTTCCACAAATTTATTTATCAAAAAAATAAAAATAAAAAAAACGAATATAGTAAGAATAAATAATGAAATTATTATCATCATAAATTTTCCTAAGGAGGAAAATCAAACAGATTCCTTATTCCCCCTACAATTTACTAACAATACCATATAGACATAGAATATCCATAATATAAAAAGACATAAGACAGGGTGAAAAAAAGAAGGGAAGAAAGATTTCTGAAATAAAAGAGGTGAACATACTTCATACATCAGCTTGCATTGAACGCATTTTCAAGAAATAATAAATATATTTATAGAGAAGTTTCTGAACAAGTTGAAGAAAGTATTGACAAAATAACTTGAAAAATAATCAATTCTATTACATAACTATGAACAGTAATAATTAGGTCTTTTTTTCTTTTTTTTCTAGTCGTTTAAACTTTTATTTAATAAATAACTAATGACAATGACGATAAGACCAAGAGAGAAAATAGTTCTTTGATGCTGCGTAACTAATCCCCATAATATATGTTTATTTGTAGATTTTGAAAATGGTTGACGTATTATTGGTGATCGGTTTAGTAATTTTTGCTCACGATATTTTAGAATACGTTTATTGCCTAATTCAACCAATTTATCTGGTTCTAAATCAATGTAGATTTTTAAAGCTTCACGGATAAGTTCCTCAACAGGATGTAGTTTAGGTAGACGTGCAAGTGTTTGATACAAAAGAGCAAAATCCAGTGGTGTTGATTCCACTTCTTTGGCACTGATAGTAATTATCTATGAAAAAGGGGATATTTTTAATTTTAAGACAAAATCAACGATAGTTTATTAGTTATTAAAGAGTAAAAAAATAATCATAGAAAGTGTATAAAACAAGAAACGTAGACAATATACAACGATTTCGCATTCTTGGTATGTGTCTAGCAATAGAATACAGGGGGAACGTTCCAGCGCATTTTGAATCCATTAGCTGGATGTACTTGAATTTCAGTGTTGATGTGATATAACGGATGAATGGAAATCTTTCCTCTCGTTTCATGATATAGTACGATAAGACTGGTGACCGAGTTTATACTACCACTGGATTGGATACTCGATCTACACGTTATACACAGATTAGATCACGTGATACCATATACCCAATTCATGATCGCAAATAGAGAACCAGTGTAACTCTAGACAACACTTTACTCCACACAATTACAAGCAATCACTCTCAGTGAGTCCGTGGTAGATATCAATAGAATGAAAGGAAATTATATATTTGATATACAATAAGCTGTGTACCCATTTGTCCACGCTCAGTGGCTAATCATGTTTACTTTCACTACCATACATAATGTTCGCACAGAAACTTGGAATCAATGTGTTTAGCTTCAAACGGACAATTTTTTATCCATTGAGCAACAAAATCTAGATGGCCACTAACTTTTTCAATAAGTATAAAGGTATTAATAAGGGCTTGCAACGTCACACTGTTGATATTCAGGACTGCAATTGATTAGTCTCAATTACTATGTATGAATCTTAAACGGACTGCTTTGATACAGCATTATATCACAAGTTTCAGTAAACTTCCAAGATAGAAATTGGCCAATTACAGTCCCGAACATCAACAACAGTAAATTACGAAACCTTAGTAATAACACAAAACAATTTAAACTGTTCAAATTCACTAACAAATAAAAACTAATTATGTATGTATGAAAATCAACTAAAACCTTTCCTCACTGTTGATTTTTCAATGTTCAAGAAGTCTAATATAGTTTTTAGTAAGAATGATATTAGTTGAGAATGTCTTTCTCTAATACATAATACTCATATCTGAGTCATATTCCCAATGTCTCAGGTAAACTACAATCAATGAAAGGATTATAATTAAGAATTCGCTCACTTCGGCAATACACATCAAAGGTGGTTGTAATTCATTAAATATTACACTTTTCTCAACCAATGGTTTTTAAACTTTTTAAATCACCCTATCCCTCACTTCCCAAACTACACGCTTAACTCGAAATCTATTTACTTAAGGGTTCTATTACGTTTTGCTTTTGAAGTAAAACCAGTAATCTATTATTTGAAGTCGTTACGAGTTTTTTTGCAACATTGATTTTCTGAATTTGTCTGACAGATAGTAAGGATCGATAAACAATATACTTATTTTAATAACTTTTCAGATAAAGAATAGGTGGCGAATGATCGGTGGGGCAATCAAAACCAAGTTGCAGCGATCAAAAACCTCCGAACGACGAGTGGACGTGCTTGGTCAAAAAATGGTTTTATTTTCCAAGAAGTGAATATACATATATAAATTAGCACTTATTCATCGAGTTCGGTTTAATCCAATAAACTTCCACCTTCACTCTTAGTCTTCTCAATCGGTAGCCGCTTGGAAGCTTGCGTATATGTTTTTGTATCAGTATTAACTTCGGACATTGTTAGTCATAACAGTGAATATCGATGAATTCCAAACTCAAGAGTTGGAGTACATCAAACTATATCGACCACCAGCCCGATGTAACTGATCTATCATCTCAGGTGAGAATATTCAACACAATTATACAATTTACTCTAGATGTTATATAAAATACTTTGGGAGTTTATGTGAACAAATTTTAAAACATAAGTTTACCGCCAACATTCACAACACATATTACTGAACAACTTAAAACTTTTAAAAACAAATTTTCAGAAAACTGAATCAAGGTTCAATTGTTCATTAGACAAAACTATTTCGTCTGTATACACTAAAAACGCAGTAAATAAATGTCAGACAATTGACAAACGGGTCAGTCTCCAAAAATCTTATGTATCCATAATAATGATAAATTTAAAAAATAAGCCTAAATAACTTTAAAGGTCATTAATCATACTCATTACTACAAACATTTATTTATTTTATATTTATTTTAACACATAGATATTGGCACAAGGAAGCCCCAAATACATATGCGCCACACGAATCTCAATTGATTTGTGTGAGGGCTGTGATACTGCCCGGGTGCCCAGACCGAAGCAGGTGGTTTTCTTAGGGGGCCACACCCCTTACTACAAACAAAACATTAAAAATCCAAAATTGATTTCGATTAAAGGGGTTAGCGGAATATGGATTGGATTAAAGTACGCTCTGTGCAGTATTATGTTGGGGTACGCTGACTCTCAGTCAGTCAGGTGCAACGTAGGACCTGTCATATATATGCATCGGTCCAAGTTGCCATACCTCATTAAGAAAACAAGATAAACACCTAATTCATAGAAGTAGCTACTTCAATGATAGTAGTATATAAAAAAAGATTGCGTATAAGGATATAATACAGGAAGAAAGAATTAGTTCGTAGAAAGATATAAAGCAATTTTAGTCTTACAATTTAGGGGAAAACAACGAGTGTATACACCGACCCCATTGTGATCGATTCTGAGCCATGTCATCCAGTCTCTAACCATTGGTTACGATAGTCACGCGGGCCCTAACCAAGTAGTCTGGCTATTTCTTATCCAATCAGCGCTAGTAGATACTTGGGAAAGACTCCAGAATCTTTTCGTGTAAAAACTATAAATTACTAGCGTTTTTCTTAATATAACTGTTACTTCCATCTACCTTTGTTATTTGGAATATAATTCAGTTCCTGTTCAACCTTGCTCTGATTTGAGGACTTGTGGAGTGAATTTTTCCAAGATTACTAAGCAATAGGAATAACTAGGTCGTAATAAGAGTAATTATAACAAAAGGTCACAAGGTAGTATGAGGCTACTGTCCATAATAGAATCCATTAAGACAATTCTGAAGAAAGATATATCAACTTTTTATTATTCACCTTTTTAATATCCTATTACATTACAGAAGTAGTAAAATATGTTTCGATATCCCATTTTTTAACAAAATAATTCAAACTCACAGCAACTGAAACATAAACCAACATGATAGGATCTGTTGCTAAAAATAAATCGAACAGGCGTCTGACATCATCCATATTAGGTAGAACATGAGCAAACCAAGTAATAATCCAAGCAATAGCGAAATCTGGGCCTAACTCAACAGATTCTATACTATTCAGTACAGAAGTTGAAACATGTTCTAACAAGGCGAATATCAATTGCATGTATTCTAGAGTTACATCCATAGATTTCTGCATAAACAAACTATGGAGAATGTGAATTTAAAGCAGAAATTAATTAATAGCCATCGTAAAAAAAAAAACTCATAAAACATTTGGACAAATATATTACATGACATCTAGTCGTCTTATAATCCTAGATAACTATTTAAGGTTATTCTGTAAGTTTATTTTAACAAAAGTTACTCATATATTAGGAAAGTTTTTACATGAAACTACAGTATATCTACTTAATTAATCAAATTTAATTTAGTTATGGTTAGCGAGTTGCCAGTTATAAGTTCTGAACATTATCAAAGTTTAAGTTTAACAATTCGTTAGTTATTATTGCTATGTATCATTCCCATGATTTGACCATACTACTTCTAAGTTCTGTAAGCCTATTCAAAAAGTATCAATAGAATTCAAATGAAGTTCTCGATGACTCTAGGCTAATGAACACCTTTTATTCATGGCTAAAACTCAATTATGGTTTACATTTCTATCTCAAGTCTTCGCACAGGTGAAGAGATAAATCAATCTGTGTCTATAAAATCTAATGATAAAGCTGACCAACCAGAGACATTTCAGTTTCACACTAATCTCCTGTCTCTGTACATAAAAGTGCTTCAGATGATATGGGTTCCGAATTCTGAAAGAAGCTAAATTATTTTATTCTTATAAAATTTTTAACTGATGGACAGCAATCCTTTGCAGACATCATGAACTAATTCAACACCATTTGAAAAATAAAACAAACGAGTGAATATTTTCATGTGTTCAACAATATATCTGCTTTATTTCCACCTGTATCCTCTAAATGTTTCCAGGCGTTGATGTTTGCTACCACGTGGTTTCCAGTCATTAGGTTAACATATATGTAACCATGAAACTTAATCTAAAGGCTAATGACCTTTACGAATTACTTTGGTAATTTATTTAAACCTATGTAAATGGTTCCCCACCACTACCACTATCAACCACACCCCTATTTTATTCAGTAAATAATAAATTTCAAGTATCTAAATAGCACAAGAACATTTACGTTTCCTTAAAACATATATACTATAAGACCTGATAACTACATAATTAGTTATTGATACAGTGTAGTATGGAAATAAAGGGATGATATAAGCCATTTAAAAAGTAATGTAATATATTTGTGCTTTACACACTTAACGTTATTAAGAAATTACTAACCCACATATATCATAATGTTATAATATTCCAATGTCCAATTCTAAACAACTTTAGTTTACTGTTCAGATTTCTCTCCTAGGTGTTCATATGAAGTATGATAAACCGCTACTTGTTCAGTCAGTCAGCTACAACGTAGGACCTGTCATATATATGCATCGTCCCAATTTGCCATACCTCATTAAGACAACAAGATGAACACCAAATTCATAGTAGTTACTTCAATGATGGTAATATATAAAAGAAAGATTGCGTATAAGGATGCAGTACAGGAAGTCAAAATTAGTTCGTAAGTTCGGTGTTGGCGGGAAGACGACATGGAAGGCAGTCACGGGGTGGTTGATCGCGGAGTTCGTCAGCCCAGTGGATAGGTAAGAAGCACTAGAGAAGTTCCGGTTGGCGAAGCCGTCGATCGATGGTGACCCACTGGTGCGGGCTGTGGAGCTTACCAGGTTGTTGCGCAGGCACGCTGGCGAGTCTGGATGAGAAGTCGGAGGCACAGTTGTTGGCGTCGCAGTTTATCGAAAGCGTGCCTATCACCATTTCCCAGCAGCTTAAACTAGTAAACGCCGCACAACCTATGGTTTTTTTTCAATTATGGACCTTTCCAAACCTGAACTGTTATTTGAGCAGCAGCTGAAATTGAAGCAAATGTTGACGGAGACCAAGGTTACGTATCCCTCACAACCAAACACGTCTAGTCCAACTACGGCACCATCAGCAGATGGCATCGCAAAAAGTATAGCTGAATTCCATTATGATCCTGATGCTAATGTTACTTTTGAGATGTGGTTCAAGAGTTATGAAGATCTATTTAAATTTGATTTCGCCAATCAACATGTTGCTTGGAAAGTGCGGCTGCTACTTCGTAAATTGGGTGCAACTGGGCTGGACAAGTATTGCAATCTGATCCTGCCTTTGAACCCACGTGACCGACCATTCGCAGACACAGTTCAAACATTAAGCCAACATTTTTGCGATAACGCGTCACTGTTTAATACTCGTTATCGATGCTTGAGGCTGATGATTTCCTTACGCATGTGGGCGTTGTCAACCGTGAATGCGAACGCTTCCGGTTAAAGCCTTAGACTGAAGATCAGTTTAAAGTCCCGATCCTCATTTGCAGCCTGCAGACCAAAAGTTCAGTGACTTACGAACAAGGCTACAAAGTCGGTTGGATCAAGAGCCGAAACTCACCCTGAGTGATATAGTTAATGAATATCAACGTCTCATTAATCTGCAACGAGACACTTCTATGGTCCAGAATGGTGGGCCTAGCCGATCTGAAGTTCGATCGGTACAACAGACGCCTTAAAAAAAACAAATACGTCCCTGCTTCATCCAGTTCATTCCATCCCCGTCGCCAATTGTTATATTTGGTCGTCGCTGATTGCTGTGCCGGAAAAACGCTGATCACTTATACTTGAAACAAGGGACCTCTGCAATTCCCACGACGCAAAAGTAAGAACACAAAGACTGTTATAAGTGAAGATTTATTAGCCCCAAAACACTATAACGACGATGATGATGATAATAATAATAATAATAATAATAATAATAATAATAATAATAATAATAATAATAATGACGATAATCATAGTCTAAAATACACTGGTTTATATATTGGTTGTACACCCATTTTGATTAATAATTAGGATTAAATCATATATATGAAAAATACTCAGTTATAATAAATCACATACTGAGCATAGTTCAAGTCAATGGAATACAGGAATATCGTATATTATACAGGATAAAATATCATACGAGAAAAGAAAACAACTACTACATTGAGTAATGATTACATTGAATCAAAACGGATGTAATTGTGAATAAAACTCATATTGAGTTAATCAATCGAAAATTGACTTTTCTTTCCATTATATCAATCAATAAGCTGGAGGTGACCCGAACAGTAGCCCCGGTTGGGTGCGGAAGTCAGGAGATAAATAGTGTTGAGAAGATTGAGGAGCTACAGCGTGAGATTGCGGCAATACGAGTGAATCATAAAAGGAATGATAAGTGTTACGCCTGTGGAGGGACAGGACATTGGAAAATAAACTGTCTAACAAGACGAAGACGCAGATTTTTAAACGTTATCACAAGTGTTTTTTCTACCCTAGGAATCTGGGGGTTGTTGCACTAGTAGATAGAGGGGTAGTCTACACAAGAGTGAACATAAATGAACGAAATTTAGTGTGTCTGATCGACACAGGGGTAACAGTATCGTTAATAGGCAAAGAGCAATGTAAGACACTCAAGCCATGTACATTAGCAGTTCACACCATTGGAGGGCACATGTTAGAGGTGTTGGGTGTGTCTAACAGTATCGTAAAAGTGGTTGGTGCTGAGATAAATTTCCCGTTCGTAGTAACCACAAATCTATCAAAACCGACATTAGGAGCAGCTTTCCTAAGAGAAGTAAAAGCAATAGCTGACTTAAGAAGCGGTAAGGTGGTCACAAAGTATGGTTCATTCCCAATACATGAAAGTAGCGAAGTGGCTGAGATAAAAGTGGCAACGGATGTTTCGACGAAGAAACCAAACATTAACGAGTCGTGCACAAAGTATACAAAACTGTTTACTGGAGACAGAGAGCCGTACGGAATTTGTGACAAAGTAAGGCACGAAATCCCAATAAAGAACGATCGAGTAAGCATATAGGAACGGGTCGCGTCCCTATGCAATTTAGAGGCTAAGGTAAATCGACAGGTCCAAATGTTGAAAGGAGGTATAATTGAGGAAGCGGACAACTTGTATAGCTCGCCGGTACTCTTGGTAGAGAAACCGAACGGGAAGTATAGATTTGGTGCCGGTTTTAGATAACTGAATAATATAACAAAACTGGGACCTTGTGCAATGCCAACAGTAGAGGAAACACTAGATCGACTGCAGAATGCTAAGGTGTTTACACTGCTGGATTTGCGGTCAGATTATTAACAAATGCCTATAAAAGAGAGCGATCGAAACAAAACAGCATTTGCTGGGCGTGATAAACGGTATCAATTTAGACGAATGCTGTTTGGGTTGGTGGTTCAGAAGATCAATGACGCTACTGCTCAGGAATCTAGGTAACGTCGAGGTGTACGGTGACGATGTAGTTGTGTACAGTCAGACAGAAACAGATCATGTCAAGCATATGGAAACGGTCTTAAAGCGAATTGAAGAATTTGGACTTCGAATTAATAAAAACAAGTCGCAGATAGAGAAAAGTAGCGTCACGTTGTTGGGGTATAAAGTGGGAAATGGAGAAATAAAACCACTGCCGGAGGAAATTCTAACCATAAAGAACATTGCAGTACCTGATTCTAGAAGGAAATTGAAAGTTATTGGGAAGGGTGGCATTCTACATTTGGTTCGTCAGGAACTTCAACGAAATAGCAGCACCCCTATATAGGTTGTTGGTGTGGCGCATATATATTTGGTGCCCCCTTGTACCAATATTTGTGTTCAAATAAATAAATAGGTTGTTAAGCAACACTAAGTTTACGTGAACTGAGACCGCCCAACAAACGTTCGACCGAATCGAAAACATGCTAGACAACCGCCAGATGACACTCAGAATGCCTGAACCCGAGAAACCGTTTACAGTGGTGACAGAGGCAAGTAATCATGGTATATGTGCCGTCTTGAGTCAGTCTGATGGTGATGGAATACGTGAGCCGTGTTCTCACACCCGCTGAACAGAAGTGGACGACAACAAGGTTAAGAAAAGAGAGGAGGGAGGCAATAGGGAACGTGGAAAAGAAACAAATGTCAGACACAAAGAAGGCGGAACAACAGAGGTGGACGTGGAAGCCTTTTTCAGTGGGGGACCTGGTAAAATGTGAAGAACAGAAAAGTAAAATAGCAGGAGAATCAGGGTCAGGAAAGCTGATCCCAAAGTGGAAAGGACAGAACATTGCCTCGGAGAGACGACCCGGAGAGAAGACAAACGGAAGCGCGTAAATGCCAGGCAATTGAAGAGATGGTTTCAAGATCATCATGAGTGCGAGTCACGAACAGCACCAAACAAGACAGAGGTAAGGAGATCGGAAAGATTGTGAGAACAGCTTAATACAGGGGGGAAGAGTGTGGAGTGTGCTACTTATTTTGACACCAGTAGTAAATAACGCGAGTCAGGAATATAATGTCTGGCAGCAGAAGATTGAGCTGATCAAGAAGGGAAGAACGGGAATAGAAAGCAACTGGTATGGAAATGCAGGAACAACGAATTCTGAGACAATTAATGAACATTTTTCAAATTAAGTATTATGGTATGGTTTTTCTGTTTTACTAAATAACTCTGCTTCACTACACAGGTGTCGACGCAGACCAGTTCTGAAGCAACAACTTGCATTTAGAGGGAGAGAAGCGCATCCCAAACATTCTCTCATTGTTGCTCAGTGCTACCAAAAGACTCTGCATTTTATCAGCGTCTTCACCAAGCAGGAGTATGTCATATGCGTATTCTAAGTCAATAAGTGGACCTCCTGGTACAAGATCAGTTCCCAAAAATTCAGTCGACGAGAGCGTTATTTCCATCAGTAGATCTATGATGAAGTTAAACAAAAATGGAGATAGTGGACAGTCCTGAAGGACACCACTTGAGGTTGCAAAAGCAGATGACAGTTCGCCATAAGCTCGAACTCGACTATTGGTGTTCCAGTGAAGAGCCCTCACGAGGTTCATGCACTTCTAAGGTACACGTTTCAATGACAGACACTGACACAGAACCTTTCGGTCTACAAAGTCAAACGCTGCTTTCAAGTCAAGGAAGACCACCATTGTCAGACACCAATAAGTATGCCTGTGTTCTAAAATCTGACGAATGGTGAATATGTGGTCGATGCAGTCGCGATCAGGTCTGAAGCCAGCCTGACTTTCTCATGTTTCCAGTTCACGAGTCTTTGTTAGACGCCCGATAACTATTAGTCTGTAGAGCTGTTTGGTGCTACCTACAGCCGCTGCTTTTTCCATCTCTTTTGCTTTTGTTGCCCACCACTGCTCACGGTCGCTACCTGTTACGTATTTATTTATGATATTAAACCTGAAACACTGTCATCCTGTTTCAAAAATTGTCTAAACGTAGCAACAATACAAAACATTTAATGATTAAGGAATAATGGAAAATATTTGCAATAATTCTCTGTATGAATATTTACCTGAAATGAGTTGGGATTAATTTATTGAGCAACATTCGAGATTCTTTTTCACCCAGAACCGAAAAGAATACATAACAGATATCATGAAAACCCTTGAAAATAAAGATGAGGATCAAAGATGAAAAATGGCAATCAAATGAACAAATCCTATTACATCAGTAGAACAAACTGAATAGTCGAAAAAACGTCCAAATATAATTAAAGTAAAAAACATGTTGAACGAGAAATATTTGATCGAAATTTCTTAACAACAATCATAATAAAAATCATAAAGTAATATCATACATAGACAGTTTTATGAGGAGCATAAATCATTTCCTGAACTTACAACATACTTTGCAAATAATCTGTTACATTCAGCGATTTATTTTATTGTGGTTCTATTTTGTTACTGATACAACATTTAGTATGGTTAACAATTGATAGTTGCAACTGAATCCTAACATATGCCTTCGCCGCGTATTCCTATTTATCGTAAAATATCTTGAAAAAATTAACTTCACTGATTCATTACTAGTATGCTAATGGTAATTATAAACATGGCATTATTAATAGGAACAGTATAAACATCCACTACTCGCTGTCTAAAATGCTAGTTTGGAAATCTCAACGAAGGCTGTAAAACTCTCCACTCTGAAACCGTGTGTTATCTGTCAATTTTTGGTCAGTTGAGTTGATTATACAGTTGTTTCTAAGCTTTAATTATAATAAAACCATTTCCATGACTGAATTTCTAGACCGAAATGACTTGTTATCACTATCAGATCACTTCTAATAAATAAATTTAATAATCTTATTGCAATAATCAGTACTATTCTGATAGTTATACAGCTATATTTTATTGTACTTCTAACTGTATGGTCCAGAACAGACCAACTGTTATAGATCAAAGAGTGAGATAATTTAGAAGGAGTGAAATCAATCTTTTGCTACCATTACTTGCATGTTCCAAAAATACCCCAACTACCAAGTTTAATAGAGAAAATAGCCACAAATTGCTGAAATATGACGCATATTATGTTGTAGGGATAACTGAAATACCCCAATGATACTAAAGCATTAATTACAAGTTAGATCTTAAGTTAAGGATTTGAAATACATATGATGAAATGCTGATGAAAACCTCATTTATTTTTATGGAGAAAAATCAGGAAATGTAGTGCATATTGACGGTATAGAGTTTTACTTGATGTAGTTAGAAAGTAATAAGTAAAATACACGTAATTAATTCCATGGTCAATAACATTTTTGGATTGTAACTAGAGAAGAAAGTAAATAAGAAAACCATTTAATGGGTCGTGTGTTAATAAAAAATTGTGATACATTAATTACTTCATACTGCCGACTACAGTTAAAGGAGCATATATTCTTAGATACTATTTAATAAAATGATTAGTGTAAGAACTAGTAACCAATTAGATGACTGAAAATCTTATACAAAATATAAACCATCTTAAATTTAAGCAGCAAAGACCAATATGAATAGGTATATTTACACGTACCTGATAATAATGTAAAGAAGGATTATCCATTAATACGGAAATCACTAGACGAGTAACAATTTGTTGTATACTTTCAACTTCTTCGGGATTTGAGTTCTTAGGCATTAAACTTGTCATACGACATGTGTCTAATTTAACTTGATGATAGCTTGGATGGTGTTTTACCATTTCAGGATCTAACTTTGAAAATTAAAAAAGATGGAACGAAAGTCATACATATGAACCTGTTTTACATATAGAGTGCATGTAATTAAACTATTTATTTATTTATTTTAACACATAAGTATAGGTACAGGGAGGCACCAAGTACATATGCGCCACACGAATCTCAATTGATTTGTGTGAGGGCTGTGATACTGCCCGGGTGCCCAAACCGAAGCAGGTGGTTTTCTTAGGGGGCCTTACCCCGAGCCTTTGACCTGAACGTCTGACCCACAAGGCAGTGGAGCATCGTGAGAAGATGCAGTCCCATGGTAGCCGGTGACCAACGATTGGTTCATACGCCATTTGTTCCTTCAGGATACTGGAGCCCATGTGCACCATTGGTTTGGGGTCCGGTTAAAGCGCCAGACATTCGCTTTTCGTCCTCTCATTTTTGTAAACAACAGCCCGCCACGCGAAGGCAGTGAGTAGGACTTCCCTGGCAGAGGCTATATACGCATGGCCATGTAATTAAACTAAATGATACTGAAAAGTATGATAAAGTGGATTATTATAATGCTACAGTTGATATATTGGGAGAAACTTGCAGATCATTCTCAGCATCATAAGCATATATAGACATAATGATTTCTACCATTGAGAAAAGTCATAAAAAAGTAACAATTTACAGTAAACAACCAAGAACCATAAGCAGTAAATAAGGAACTTGAATATTTACTTAGATAATCAAGTATAAATTAATTTGCTAGTTTCAAACTACAAATACTACCAGATTAACCAATTTAGAAACATGGAAATAAAGCAGTTCATCAACTTTTAACTAATTAGTTTAAGGACTTCAAATTCATCGAATAGATATATCAACAGTGCTTTCTTAAGACATTAAAGAGGAAGAATGTATTTGTAAAGTCTCAGAGAAAGGATTTGAAGTAAATCCAACGTTTCGCCTGGCAATCTGGTCCAAGCTTTTTCAAGTTAAGAAATATTCGCCTAGAAAAACCAGAAATATTTAAAGGGATTTCACTTATTAAGTTTCATAAAAAGCTGGAGCTGCAACTTGTCGGTTTAGGTTTTTGAAATTTAATCAGTAGCTGACTGATTCGAGTTCTATTGTCTTACTGAGGAATGAAGGTATAAAAGAAAAATAAAAAGACAAACTAACAAGTAACTACCCAAACACACTTTGCCCACAAATGCCCTGGTATGGCCGAGAGCGGGGAGGGTTCGCCCTCCCTCTCGAAATACTCTCACACGGCCACGCGTATACAGCCTCTGCCAGGGAAGTCCTACTCACTGCCTTCTCGTGGCGGGGGTGTTGTTTACGAAAATGAGAGGATGAAAAGCGAACGTCCGGCGCTATAACCGGATCCCAATTCTATGGTGCACATGGGCTCCAGTATCCTGAAGGAACAAATGGCGTATGAACCAACTTTTAGTCACCGGCTTCCATGAGACCGCATCTCCTCATGATGCTCCACTGCCTTGTGGGTCAGACGTCCAGGTCAAAGGCTCTACCACGTCATTTATTCACCCTCTCTTATTTCTACTTTATGTATCCGTTTCGACCTAGACAGCAGCTCACCTATGGTGAAATTTAGCTTTATCTAAACGTACTCGAGTGACTGCCTGGTTGAAAATTGTATGTTACCACCGAATATGAGTACTGAAGCAGTTTTTCTGAAACCACGTACACCATTCAAACTGACTGCCTTCAACGTTCGCACACTTATGCAGGTCGGACAACAGATAGGGCTGGCTATGTCTTTGGAAAGTCTTAATATTGACGTGTGTTGTCTATCAGAGACCCGTATTCAAGACTCTGGTGAAGTACTACAAGTTTGCTCTCCATCTGTCGCTTCAAAAAGCTTGTTTTATGTGCGTTTATCCGGGGACCCTGTGGCATCTTCGTCTGGTCTCGCTGGCGTTGGTGTCGCACTAAGCGCTAGAGCTGAGGCAGCACTAGTCGACTGGATCCCCATTAACAGTCGGTTATGTGCTGTTAGATTAGAAAGTTCCATCAAAATGAGAAGAAATAGGCGTGAGAAACGATGTCATTTCGTCATCTCCGCATATGCCCCGACAGATTGCAGCCCGGATGCAATCAAGGACGAGTTCTACCACCAGCTAACTGTTCTTCTCCAGAAAGTGCGTTCGACAGATATTGTAGTACTAGCTGGAGACTTGAATGCTCAGGTCGGGCGTCTAGGCACAGAAGAGAGTCGTTTAGGTGGCCGATGGGGACTCGTTGGTCGCAGGACAGATAACGGGGAACGTCTACTGCAACTATGCACAGACCACAACCTGTTTCTGGCTAGCACTAACTTTCGGCACAGTCATCGCCGATGTGCCACCTGGCGTCCCCCTTCTGCATCTCAAGCCTGGACTCAGATTGATCACATCGCGATCAGCTACCGCTGGCGCGGTTGTATACAAGACTGCCGCTCCTTTTGGAGTACCTATCTGGAATCTGATCATGCTCTGGTCTGCGCCAATCTTACCTTACTTTTCAGTGGACAACGAAGTGACCGCCACCACAGGATTGATGTCAGCAAGCTGGCTGCAACTTCTGTTGCTAGTATGTACCGAACCGAGCTAGCTTCTAGGCTAGCTACCACTCCACCGAAAAGTATAGATGAGCATTGGTTGCAATTGCATGACGCCATGAAAATGGCGGGTACAGTCAGTTGTGGGTTTGCGAAACGTCCTGCTTACAAGCACTGGGTTTCTTCTGGTTCCTTACAACTGATTGAAGCCCGTCGGTCTACTCTGGGTGACCGTGAGTTTGACCACAGACGAAGGATGTTACGTAATGAAATCGAGCAAAGCTTGCGTAAGGACCGAGAAGCCTAGTGGTCGGAGCGTGCCAGTGAGTTGGAAGCAGCAGCTGCATCTGGTAATTACCGGAAGCTCTTCCAACTCATCCGAGCCACTGGCAGCAAGAAGTCTGGTGTGAGTGAAACAATCTGCGAGGATGACGGAACGCCAATCACTAACATCCATAGACGTCTTGGACGATGGGAAGAATTCTTCGAAGGGCAGTTCAACTGGCCTGCTGCTCCGGCAACATCGGTCAGACTGTCCTGCCCTCCATGGCCGGTGACGACTGATCCACCAAATGAGGCGGAAGTCCGCAAGGAACTCCAACTCTTGAAACGTTACAAATCACCGGGCCCAGACGACTTACCTCCGGCTCTTTTTAAAGATGGTGATGACTTTCTGACTAAGGGACTGACGACGTTGTTTACAAAGATCTGGGAACTAGAGAGTGTACCAACGTCATGGAATGAGTCGATAGTTGTCCCTATCTTTAAAAAGGGTTCACGTCGTTCCTGTAACAACTATCGGGGGATAAGTCTAGTTCCGATTGCGTCCAAGCTATTGGCTTCCGTCATACTTCGTAGGTTGTTCAGGACCCGAGAAGGATTGACTCGCGAGGAGCAGGCTGGGTTTCGTTCTGGTCGAGGATGTATTGATCATATCTTCACCCTCCGCCAAATGTTAGAACACCGCCATACTTATCAAAGGCCAACAATCGTAGTGTTTCTTGATATTAGGGCTGCCTTCGATTCGTTGGACAGAACTGTTCTCTGGGATTGTCTATTGAAGAAGGGTGTGCCTGAGAAGTTTATTAACATCCTAAAAGCCCTATACACAAACATCTCAGGCAGAGTGAGGGCATACAACCACCTTTCTCCACTATTCCATTCAAGCAGTGGAGTTAGGCAGGGTTGCCCAATCTCACCATTCCTCTTCAACTTTGCCATCGATGACATTCTGGAAACAGCTCTGACGGATGTAAGTAATGGTGGTGTGGATCTGTTGCCTGGAGAAAGACTTCTCGACCTTGAGTATGCGGATGATATTGTCTTACTGTGCGAGAATGCCCAAGCCATGCAATCCGCACTTAATCAGTTGGCAATCAGTGTCCGTAGGTATGGTATGTGCTTTGCACCTTCGAAGTGCAAAGTACTTCTACAAGACTGGCAGGATTCTAATCCTGTACTCACTCTGGATGGTGAGCAGATAGAAGTAGTCGAGAAGTTCGTGTATCTAGGTAGCTGCATAAGTGCTGGTGGTGGCGTGAGTGATGAGATCAATGCACGTATAGTGAAAGCCAGAGCGGCTTATGCCAATCTGGGCCATCTTTGGCGCCTTCGTGATGTTAGTCTGGCTGTAAAAGGTCGGATCTACAACGCGACGGTGAGAGCAGTTTTGCTCTATGCTTGTGAAACCTGGCCTCTCCGAGTTGAGGATGTTAGACGACTCTCTGTATTCGATCATCGTTGTCTCCGAAGGATTGCTGGCATCCAGTGGCAACACCATGTCAGTAATGCAGAGGTTCGGCATCGAGTGTTCGGTCACAGAGACGATAATGAAATTGGTGTCACCATCTTGATACACCGACTTCGGTGGGTTGGACATGTTCTACGAATGTCGTCCCAAAGAATTCCTCATCGTGCATTATTTGCCGACTCTGGGACTGGTTGGAAAAAGCGGAGAGGTGGTCAGTGTATGACATGGTGTCGCGGTATGAAAGAAAGCTGCAAAGGGCTAGCTTCTGTTGGTCCTTCACGACTCCCTGGCTGGGGTCCGAGAGATGGTGTAACGCAGTGGCTAGAGACGTTATCAGATATGGCTCAGAATAGAAGCCAATGGCGATCCTGCTGTAACCTTCTTTTACTTTCTTCATAAAAAGTGGTTGTATCTTCCTTAACTGAAAGATTTCTTCTCATTGTACCTTTCCGTTTTCCCCATCATTGTTCTCTCTCTCTCTTTTATAATTCCCCACGTTCATTACTTTTTTTTATATTTTTTTTCTCCTTCTCTTCAAATTATCATTGTTTTGTGTGGCGCATATATATTTGGTGCCCCCCTGTACCAATATTTATGTGTTCAAATAAATAAATAAACACACTTCTCAAGTTCATAAACGAAACCAGTGTGTAAAAACTGTAGAGCACCAAAAACAAAGAATTTCATCTAATAACCCAAGTTTCGCTTGTTGTGATGATGT